ATCTTCGCATAAAGTTATTGATGTCCTAACAAAAGAACAAGATCTCTTGTTTGAAGTCATATATTCTATCCTTTATCCACATAAAAACAAAGCTTATTTAGCAAAACTAAAGTCTTCTTTAGAAGTCATTTCTTCTAAATCTAACGACTTATTAGTCACAGACAAATTCAATCTTAAAGATATACTTAAAAACTAGAAAAAAAAACTATTGTAAAACCAGGAACAATCCTAGACCTCTTACATGAGATTAATTGTAACACCCTGTTACCGGACCAGTGTGTTATCATCAAATATGATATTAAGCATAGTTACAATCACATGGATTAGTTAAAACTATGGATAAACTTTTTCACAAAACATTGTTCATTTACTTTTTAAAACAAAATCGTAATTATAACCGTGTAACATTCTCTAAACTGAGACCACCTCGCTTAACAATTAACTTTAACCTTTCCATTATGATAAACTAGACATCTAGAGCTTTCCGGAAAGACATTACGATAACCATTTGGTTAATTATACCCGAAGTTATTAAACTCGCAACGTAGCTGACAAAATCGAACTTTCAAAATTAGAGCATCAACTTCAATCCTAAACTGACATTTGTATACTCGTCCAATGGCTCTTATATTTTACAGAGTTATAGCACTATGTGTTAGCTTTATATTGGTTCAAACTTCGCTTAATTTGGAGCTCTGTAGCTCGAGTTATGTCAATTTTTATGTTCGCTTAAGCGCGCTCTTCGAACTTTTTTGGCCCGATAGAGCGCTTAAGCGCGCACAGGCAGAGGAAAATGGTATTTTTAGGCCACCAAGAGCGCTTAAGCGTTCTTCAGGGCACTAATGCCCCCTACGCGCGCTTAGGCTCCCAACTTGGGTGCTTAACCCCCCTGCGGTAGAGAGTTTTGCCACGCACAGGTGCACCAGGGCGCTTAAGCCCCTTAAGCGAGCTTAAGCCTCCATTTTTGGGGCTTAAGCCCCCTCCACCTGGACAAAACACTAAATCTCATTTTCATGTATTTCTCTTGGGGAATTGAATCCCATACCCATATGACCTAATTAACAATCTTACAACGTCAATGTTTCAATAATTACATCTTCTACACCATTTTATTGTGCAAATCAAAATGACAAGACATAACATCACATTCCATTAATATATCAATATCCTATTACATTCATGTTCTCCAAATTAAATACATGCCAAATGACTTAGCTATCAAAAGGCATGATCAAAGCTATTAACCATATACAATAATGCAATTACTACAACAATGATCATGGACTAAGTCCTCCATACTATATCACATGGCTTCAAAATATACATATACAAGTGATGATATAATGGCAAATGCATCTAACAATCCTAAATTGCATGCAGTCCAAAACATCAAGCTATCAACATATGACACCTAGTTCACGAATGGCCACTTGTCACCAGAGGCTCCTTCAATATCTGTACCTGAAAGGGGCTCCCCACAACACGGGGTGAGATATACAAATATATCATAGTAAAACGGGGGCCCCTGGAGCATTTCTCCACCCCATAGTTCACTCACAGTATAAAAGCAAGAATAGTAAATAGTGCAATAAATACATATCCATGCAGTGTGTAACAAACATCTCTAAGAGACATTCCTCGAGCTCTCATGTTGTCCTAAGGATACTCAGATGCAACTAGTCCTACTGATCAGCTAAACTACCAAGTATGAATTATGCATCGTCATGCAATATACAAAATATAGGGAAACACCATCCTATGCCACACCAAATGCATACTCATAAGTGTCTAAGACACTATATTTTTTTTTGTTAAATATAGTTCAAATAATAATTAAAAATATAGTATTAATTAAATTAAATATTAAAAGATAGTAAATTGCCAACAAATAGATAAGATCCTAATCTTTGTTGTTGTTTCAGATTGTTTCATACTAGAATAACAAATTACTAACCTGATAAGGATGAGGAGGCAATTGGCAACGACTGGATATCAAGAAAAATATGAAATTAAATAAAATATAAAATATTCGGTCAAGCTCGCTTCAGCGAGCAAGTGAGCGAGAAGTACAATCAAGCTCGCTCCACTACTCGCTTCAGAGAGCAAGTGAGCGAGGAGGAAAAAATTGCTCGCTGAGCAGCTCGCTTCAGCGAGCTGGTCCAAAATCAGAGGCCCGTTTTAATTCTTTAAATACAACGCGATGAAGGCTTTGAAAAAAAAAACTTTTGGAGACGCGAAAAAAGAAAAAGAGCACTCAGAGATGAAGACGAAGGCAGGAGCGAAGAGGAATACTGGAGCGTTGCAGAGGAGAAGGAAGAAATCAAATCTGCATCACTAATATTCACCATTAATCAAGTTTTACCATGAACCTTACTTATTTTACAGTATCTTTTAATTCTGTTTTTATAATTATGCATAGCTAAATTTCTTTTAGTAGTTAGGGTGAGACGGAACCAATGGATTATTAATTGATGTATGCCTTTCTTATGATTTACATTCTGGATTTTAAATTATGCAATCAATATGTTATTTATGATTAGTTTTATTTATGGCTTGATCACTCGTAGATAAACATAAGAGTTGTGCATGACAATAGGGATGTTGGTGTATCAATTCCGATTGATTGATTGCTGGAATTTGTATGATCTAGGGATAGACTTATGAATTTTATAACTGTAGGTTCTTGCGATAATGCTTATTTTATGAAAAAATACTACGGGATTAGGCTTTTGATTAGAGTAAAGGATTGGATTACCAAAGGATTGATATTTAATCAATCATAGAAATAACTATTAATAATTTGATGTTGAATGTAATCGTAAGAATAGGCAGACTCGTTAAGAAACTATTGTGGAAGTTGAATCCTAGCTACGCCTTTTTATTAAAAACTTAAAACCAATTTCTAGCTTTATTAATTATTTATTTATTTTCTAAAATATAGAAAACTAAAAATAAGTTTAAAAATTCTTTTTTTAATTTAATTAAAATATTCTCAAGAAACTCCTTTCACGATCGATCCAACTTTAGTTAAATAGATAAATTATTGCTTGGTCATCAGTCCTCGTGGGATCGACCACTTTTCTTATCACTTTATTACTTGTACGACCGGTGCACTTGCTGAGTTTGCAACAAGTTTTTGGCGCCGTTGCCGGGGACTGATTTAATCAACTTTAATTTTATTTATAAAATCATAGATTGGATCATTTTATTGTCATTTATTTTGCTTTGTTAGTTAATATTTTTGTTGTTATTTATTTTATTTAGTTTTGTTATTTTATTTGGTTTTAATTTTAAATTTTAAATTTTCTGTTAGTTAGTGGTTTCCGTTAGTTGGGTTTACTGAGCCTTAGTTTTCTGATTTATGCATCTGCGACGCACTGTTAACCCCAGTGACCTACAGTATGAACCAGAGTTAGGACGATTAGAAAGAACAAATAGGAAGCGTTTGACCGCGAGGAAGACACAAGATGCATCGAGCTCCAGTTCTGCTGAAGAACCAGTCATGGCCGAGAATAACCAAAACCCACCATAGCAATTAATGAATCATTTCCTAAACCCTAATTTCTCGCATACGACTGCGAGTATTAGAAGACCTCAAATCCCAGCAAATAATTTCAAAATAAAAGCCTCCTTCCTGAATTTAATTCAAAGTAATCTATTTGAAGGAGACCCGATCGAAGACCCAAACCACCACATCACTAAATTCCTACAATTGTGTAGTCTCATTAAAGCTAACGGGGTTCCCCCTGAAGAAATTCAAATGATCTTTTTTCCTTTTCTTTAAAAGGGAGAGCACTTAATTGACTTGAATTGCAACCTGCTAATAGCATCTGCCCGTGGGAAAAATTGGTTGAGAAATTCCAAAAGAAGTTTTTCCCACTATCCCGATTCTCTGAGTTGAAAGAACAGATTGACAACTTCAAGCAACTCGAAGGTGAATCCTTGTGTGTAGGATGAAGGAGATTTAAAGAACTAATCAGGAGATGTACGCAATATGTTTTGACGAATGATGAGAAGGTTTGAATCTTTTACAAAGGAGTTACACCAACATATAGAGTGCTCCTTAATGCTGCAGCTGGAGGTAGTATCGAATAAATTACTCCAACTAGAGCTGTTGAACTAATTGAAAAGATGCCATCTGAAGATAACGAGGTCACATCAATTCAACCTAAGCGAGGAGTTATGCAGTTAGAAGGGTACGACGCCATGTTAGCCAAACAAGACAAGATGGATCAAAGGCTAGATTCATTTGTTAAACTTTTTACCCAAAATAAAAATTTTGCGGTTAACTCTCAATTTCATGTTGTCTGCGACACTTGTGGAGGACCACATACTCTTGAAAATTGTGACGCTATGGTAACAATTGACCCAGCTCAGGTTAATGGAGTCTGGAACAACTAGACGAGAGAAAATAATCCTTATGGAAATATGTATAATCCAAGCTGGAGGAATCATCCTGGCCTGTCATACAAATCAGGGTTCCAACAAAATAACACAAATTTTCAACAAGCCCAGCCTAGTCAGAAGGCCGCTTGGGAAGTTGCATCCGAAAAGTTGGCTCAATCTCAAGCAAATTTCACAGAAGAAACAAGAGTATCTTTAAAGAATCTGGAGAATCAAATTGGTCAGCTTGCTAGACAGATGGCTAAAAGACCTCCATGTACTTTTCCAGTGATACTATCATCAATCCTAAAGAGCATTGTAAAGCTATAACTACAAGAAGTGGAATAGTAATCACATATGTGGAAAAGAGTACCGCTGCATCAAGCAGTAAAAACGATTCAGAAAAAGAAAAGCCCGTTGAAGAAAAGGCTGATGACCCTGAAGAGGTCACAATTTTTGGAGGACCATTAAATGATACCCCACATAAAAAAGTAATAAAGAAGTCATCTTTAGAAGAAAGAATGAAATCGTTGGGAGATAACCCGTAAGTTAAAGCCCCATATCCTCAAGGGATGAAACAGTCAGCACAAAAACAACAATATTCTAAATTTTTAGAAATGTTTAAAAAGCTGCAAATAAATATTCCATTCGTTCAAGCTTTAGAAAATATGTTGAGTTATGCAAAGTTTATGAAGAGCTTGCTTTTAAGAAAGCACAAGCTTAAAGAAGAAATGGAAATGGTAGCTTTAGCAGTAGAATGCAGTGCTATCATTCAAAAGAAAATACCACCAAAGCTTAAAGATCCTGGTAGTTTCAGCATATCTTGCACTATTGGGAATGTTCATGTGGGTAAAGCACTTTGTTACCTAGGGGCGAGCATCAATTTGATGCCACTTTCTTTTGCTAAATCTTTGGGAATCACTGAACTGAAATCTACACTTCTGTTGCTGCAACTTGCAAACAGATCTATCAAGAAATCTGAAGGTGTGGTTGAAGATGTGTGGGTAAAAGTAAATGATTACATTTTCCCTGCAGATTTTGTGGTTTTAGAAATGGAAGCAGATAATGAAGTACCTTATCTTTTAGGAAGACCTTTCTTAGCCACAACTAGAGTCTTAATTGATGTCTAGCAGGGAGAGCTTCTATTTAGGGTCAATGGTGAGTAGTTTACAATCAATGTTTTTGAAGCCATGAAATGCTCAAAAGAAAAAGGTGACTGTTTTCAAATCGACGTGATCGACGAAGCTGTAGCAGCAATCGCGGATAAGATTAATGCAACACCAACAATAGAAGAATCATTTGCTAAGATTCTACAAACTTCTGAATCGCTAAATGAAGCATTGTTAGAAGAAGTTGTTAAAGAAATTGATGTTGTCTCCGAAGATCATGAGTCCGAATCTTTAGACATTGAATTTCAGGAGGACAAGACAACTGTTCTTCAAACACCTGAATTTCCGAAGTTAGAATTAAAAGAACTTCCACTACCTTAAAATATGTCTACCAATGATGATACCTATCTAGTTATTATTAACAATTCATTGCTAAAGGAAGATGAAGAAAAACTAATAAGAGTCTTGAAAGAACACAAGATTGTTATTGGGTGGACCTTTTCGGATCTTAAAGGTGTGAATCCTTCTTTTTGTACTCATAAGATTTTAATGGAGGATGATGTCAAACCAGTTCGTCAACCACAGAGGAGATTAAACCCTACTATGAAAGAAGTGGTTAGAAAAGAAGTTGTAAAGCTTCTGGATACGGGTATGATTTATCCAATATCAGATAACAAGTGGGTAAGCCCGGTACAGACTGTTCCAAAGAAAGGAGGGGTTACAGTAATTAAAAATGAGAATAATGAGTTAATCCCGACTAGGACAGTAACCGGTTGGAGGATGTGCGTAGATTATCGTAGGTTAAATGACGCCACTCGTAAAGATCATTTTCCTCTGCCATTTATGGATCAAATGTTGGAGAGGCTGGCTGGATACACTTATTATTGCTTCTTAGACGGTTATTCAGGTTATAATCAAATACCAGTAGCACCTGAAGACCAAGAAAAGACTATTTTCACTTGCCCATTTGGTGTGTTTGCATACCGAAGAATTCCATTTGGTCTTTGTAATGCACTAGCCACATTTCAAAGGTGCATGCTATATATCTTCTCCGACGTGGTTGAAAATATCATAGAAGTGTTTATGGATGATTTCTTTGTGTTTGGTTCTTCATTCGACATCTGCTTGTCGAATCTTTCTTGCGTGCTCAAGCGATGTCAGGAAACCAATCTAATTCTTAATTGGGAAAAGTGCCATTTTATGGTAAAAGAGGGAATAGTTCTGCGACACCGAGTTTCGGAGAAAGGAATTGAAGTTGACAAAGCTAAGTTACTCATCATTGAGAAACTTCCTCCTCCTGTGAGTGTTAACGGAGTAAGAAGCTTTTTTGGAAATGCTGGATTTTATAGAAGATTTATCAAAGATATCTAAGCCTCTTAGTCAACTATTAGTAAAAAGTGATGAGTTTAATTTTAATGACAAATGTCTAAAAGCTTTCAAAATACTGAAAGAAAAACTCATTACTGCCCCGATACTAACCGCACCTGATTGGACACTTCCTTTCGAGCTTATGTGTGATGCGAGTAATTATGCCATATGAGTAGTCCTAGGTCAGCGGAAAAATAAATTACTGAACGTAATTTACTACGCTAGCAAAGTACTTAATGAAGCTCAGTTAAATTATGCCACAACTAAGAAAGACATGCTAGCTATAGTGTATGCAATGGACAAATTCAGATCTTATCTAATAGGATCTAAGGTTATTGTGTATACGGACCATGCTACGCTTAAATATCTCTTGAATAAGCAAGATGTAAAGCCAAGGCTTCTTCGCTCGATGCTCCTCTTGCAGGAATTTTCACTTGAGATTAAAGATAATAAGGGAGTAGAGAATTTAGTAGCAGATCATCTCTCCAGGATTCAAGATAAAGAACTCCAAGACAGTCCATATCTCTTAATCAAAGAAGAGTTTTCTGATGAACAACTGATGGCTGTCAACAAGATAATACCCTGGTTTGCTGATTTTGCAAATTACTTATCAATTGGGGAATTTCCCCAAGAACTCACGTGACAGCAAAAGAAGAAGTTCAAGCACGATGTAACACGATATTCATGGGTTGATCCATATCTCTTCTTCCAATGTGTCGATGGAATAATTCGTCATTGTGTTCCAGAGGAAGAAGTTAGAGACATTCTATGGCACTGTTGTAACACCCTCCCTTCTATGCATCCACGAGAGTTTGTTTGCTAAGCGGAATTAGAGTTTTTGACATCTCTTTAACTACTGAAAAATCATTTTGAGGATGCCAATTAAAACTTATAGTTGCAACCAAGTTACTTACAAAAATCAGAGTACACTTTCAAAATTTCTTAAGTTGCTGAAAATATTACTTTCCTGGTGGACCTTGCTGTCTTTAAAAATTCGTATAAAATCAGTTTCGATGATCAAAAAAATATTCCATATAATATAGAAAGAGCACGTCTGGGGCTTCTGCGTGCATATAAAATAATAGTAAATCGGAGTTTGTTTCGGCTGGCAAAGAGGGGAAGGAGAGGTGGCTGGGAACTTAAGTTTGGCTCTGCATATAGAGGAATTCCTCATCAGCCGAAGGTGTAGAATGAGACAAGGAACATCAAGGAGTTTCTTCACCTCCTAGATAAGCCTTCGGCCGAACAGATGAATAGGTGGAATGGAACTAGATGATGGTACTCATTCTGATACATGTCACAATTTGAAAAAATGTGAAGGAGGCAGAATGTCGTAGTGTGAGGTGCTCCTCTTGTATGATCACGGTTGAGGGAAAAGTTTAGGAAGAGAGTTTGATCTTGCTACTTTCTACTGCACACAAAAGGAACTACGGAGGCCAGATTTCTTTTTTGTTAACGGAAGGAAAATTCTTGGCGGATGAAGGAGCTTGGCCGAACATGAGTGAAGATTCAAGATATCCTCATTGCCTATGTGTCGCACATGCAAAGAGGGTTGGAGATTTTTTTGGTTGACACTTGGTTTAAGATAAGATAACAAGCAAATTAGAATTCCCCACTTACCCTAGGCGCACATGTAGGGAAGAATTGAGGGGGTAGATGTGGCCATGTGGTTGATTTTTTGCCAATTACCAACTACCATGTAGATTTCTTATGATAAGTGAGGGTTATCTAAAGTTAGGAAAAAGATTGAGATAATTACAGCCCTCTTCAAAAGTCCTTGGGCCGAGGCCCTTAAAGGAGATTGGGTTCAAAATATACAAGTCCAATTGCTCTCCTATTTAGGAATTAACCCATGCCTATAATTTTTCTGTACCCTCTAATTATTTACTAAAGGTTTATTCTTTGTGATAAGATTAATCACATACTTATAATGAGTACTCATATAATTCTAAGTAGTGTTATGCTTTCTATGTATTCTAATTAAATTATTCTCATACTCATAACTAGAATTTCACATGTATAAAATAGGTACTCGCCTTCCATGGTACTAATAATTCCCTAATTTAATTTAACTCCGTCCTAAAGTAAATATTTACATAATCCGACGACAAGTACTCTACCACATTCCTAATGGCAATTTAAATGGGTTCCTAAATAGACGGGATGTTACAATTGTCATGGATCTGAGTATGGTGGACATTTTGCAAGAAATAGAACAGCCGCAAAGGTTCTCCAAAGCGGTTTTTACTGGCCCATATTATTCAAGGATGCCAAACAGTTCGTAGAGACTTGTGATAGATGTCAACGCACAGGAAATATTTCCAGGATGAATGAAATGCCATTAAACAATATTCTAGAAGTTGAAATTTTTGATGTTTGGGGCATTGACTTCATGGGACCATTTCCTCCGTCATATCAGAACTCCTACATATTGGTAGCTGTTGATTATGTTTTCAAATAGGTAGAAGCAGTAGCTCTCCGAACTAATGATGCCAAGGTGGTAGTGAATTTCTTGCGTAAAAATATTTCCACAAGATTTGGAGTACCGAGAGCCATAATCAGTGATGGAGAAACTCACTTCTGTAATAAACACTTTCAAGCTCTACTAGAAAAATATGGTGTCACACACCGTGTTGCAACTCCCTATCACCCCCAAACTAGTGGGCATGTAGAAATTTCCAATAGAGAGCTTAAGCGTATTTTAGAAAAGACAGTAGGGAATTCCCGTAAAGAGTGGTCCAAAAAGCTAGATGATGCTCTCTGGGCATATAGGACTGCATTTAAGACTCTTATTGGGATGTCACCATTTCAATTGCTTTAGGAAAATTCCTGCCATCTTCCAGTGGAATTAGAGTTTAAGGCTTTATGGGCTACAAAGTTTATAATTTTGACTGTAAGACTGCTAATGAAAAGAGACTCTTGGAGTTAAATGAATTAGATGAGTTTCGATTAGCTGCTTATGAAAATGCCCGAATTTATAAAGAAAAGACTAAAAAATGGCACGATAGGAGAATTATCCCAAAAGAATTTGAGCCAGGCCAACAAGTACTTCTATACAATTCACATCTGAAATTATTTCCTGAAAAACTCAAATCATGTTGGTCAGGACCATTTATGGTCAAAACGGTATTCCCGTATAGAACCATTGAAATTTGAAATATTGACGGGGACCGTACTTTCAAAGTTAATGGCTGCAGGTTGAAACCGTACCTGGGAAGCCAAGATCACAGAGGAACAAGTTGTGCTCCTATCCTTCCAGAGTAGTACTGAAGCTACACCGTCAAGCTCGTAACGTAAAACAAGCACTCTTAGGAGGCAACCTAAGATTTTATCGCTTTTTAGTTTATCATTTTAGGTTATTTTATTTTGTTTAAATTTGCTGGAATGGAATTACAGATAGTATGGAGGCATATTCCACCAACAAGAGAATTTCTGCAAAGACACACGAAAGAATAGAGGTAATATTAATTCAGGGAATCAGGTATGTTTTCATTTTAAATTTTATTTACTTATTTTTATTTTTATGTTTATTTTTATGTTTATGTTATTTTAATTTTATTTACTCAATTTTATTTTTATTTTTATTTTATTAAGCTGGCTGGCTCTCTCGCTCAAGCGAGAAGCTTAGCGAGGAAATACAAATTATAAAAATC